GGGGGGGGGGGGGCCATTAATAGAACTAAACGAAGTTACTTCATCATGATAAAAGGTTTCATTTCACCTAGAAGTTTTAATAACTCTAAGTATATATTCACATCTTCTGTTCTTTTTAAATTTGCTTTATTATATAGTTTACCTTTTTAACTGAATGTTCTCTTCCCAATTTCATGCTATCAGCAAATTTTTTAAATTATTTTCTTCTACTTTCAGCTGATTTCTTACATAAACTGAATTCCTTTTTAACACTGATCTTTAATAACAGTCTATGTGCTTACTAGTTCCTTTTGTTGGTGGTTTTTTTCTATTTTTGTTCTAGTTTGACTAAGTAATAAGGGTATTGGCCAGTAGGTGAGAAAGATATTTGATACTAAATTATATAAATACCATACATTAAGACCATAATTACTGTAAATGATATAGTTTACAAACCTATCTCTTTAATATACTCTTGAATGTGTCTGTTAGAACATAGAAGGATGAATGCCCACGTATTTTGATTCCACATAACAATGTGTAAGGTATTACTACACATCTTACTACATATCTTAATATACAGTAACCATTCCCTTTCACTCACTGATTCAAGAAACATCTGGGAATCCAGTCTTTGATAAGCAGTATTAGCAAAAATATAATAAAACTATATTAGTATTATTGAACACAATAATAAATTCTGACTTAACCCCCTTTTTTTTTTCCTAAGATATCCAAACATTTAAATCAGTTTCTTATAGTGGGGGAAGAGGAGAGCATTTCCCCAGGAAACATAAGTGTCATTTTAATTATAAAGTGAATTAATGAAAATCTTTATATTTTTCAGGATGAGAGAGACCCAGAGAAAGAAGACGAACTGGAAATGAAAAGAGGTCTTTTATACAGAGACTACGCCTATGACAGTGACCCCGAGTATAGGTATGAACTTCTTTAATCCTGTGTATAGAGATCTTTCTCATAACTGATACAAAAATAAACTGCTTCTTAATCTGCTGGATTTGTGGGACATTTAGACTCAAATTAGCATTAATTAATTATTATATATTTAAAATATTTAACTATAAAATTTTATTAAGATATTTTAATGTTTGCATTAAAAAATATTTTAGTGAAAACAAATATAGTCAATTAATGGTGATGCTTTCATCTTACTTAAGGTTTTTAGTCTGTTTGGCTTCCCTGCAACTCCACATATCCAGGGCTTATTTCAGGCTTTATTATATATCCATGCTAACTGACCTATGGCTTCACTGCCTTTGAGTATGAAATTAATTAGGAAGAAATCTCTTATCAAGGAGGTATTAAGTGACCTTTGACTTCCAATACTTTGGGATGTGGGAGCTGGACTGGGGAAAGAATCTGCTACCCATGCAGACTTCCTTCTCAATTTCATATTGCCTCTCTTTTACAAAATTTTAGACATTCGCTGTGGTCGCCTTGCCAATTCCCAGGGCCCTTTCCTCCTTTTAGCACCTTCTATGTATATCAAATTTCTTTGGTACTTGTGGCATCACTATTGTATTTGAGCATTAGTCCTAAATAAAGACCAGGCTTGAGGTGATGCTTCATATAGATGGGAGCTGGCCACAAAAAGAGAGAGAAGTAAGGACAAAAATAATTTGAAGTTCATGTTTAGAATATGAGTTAGCCTTTTATGACTATTGCCCAAAATTTTAGTCATGTTGTTCTTTTGTGGAATTAGCTATTGATATAAACTGTTTACTATTTGCTTATGCATATTTTCCAGGTTACCAACAGTAGGAGTATGCTCAATAAAAATGCTTTAATTATGAAATTATAATAGAATCTCAAACTGAGTAATTTAAATTTTGGCTATATACTTTTAAATAACACAGGATTGAGTATAGTTTTCATCTCTTTTCCATTGGTCACTATCTGATTAATTTGATGACTTTACTAAGATGTAATAAATAGCCAAAAAACTATCTTTAATATTATCAAATGTAAGAAAAAATGTAAATAATACATAGACTTAAAATCTCTTGAATAAGAATAAGCCTTCATTTTTAAGTGAGAAAATGTTGCTTAATTCTAGTTTGAATTCATTGAATCTTGTGTAATAAAGTCCTTTTAAATTAAGATTTAGTTATTTTTAAAGATCTTTGTCCAGAAGGTGTATTGATACACTGAAATTTTGGGTTGCTGCATATTTATGTGACTTTTTCAGTGTTGTAAAAATTGTAGCTTAGGGGTCTAGAAAAGTTTCTGATGATTAGAAAAAGGAAGTGTTATGTTCATCTTTACATTTTAAATGTGTATTCCTCTTTATATAATATAACAATAGTGGAAAATCAGAATTGGCTCTGTGTTCACAGTTCACTCGTCAGAGAGCCAATGCTTCCATGTCTGGAGGTGAATATTGTTTTTAGGGTTCTGACACTCTGTTCGCACCTACCTGTCCAAGGGCGAGACTGGAACCCATCCTGTGTTCACACCTCTGTTTCGCAATTCAGACTTCCAGGCTGAACCAGTTCTTCCCAGAGAACCACAGTGCTGTTTACTAAATTTAAAAAGCTTGCAATTTTAAATAGAAATAAACTCCCTGCCAAATTTTTCAAGATCTAAAAGCACTAGAATGTCTATTTTTGCCATTTTAGCACTTGTTAACAGACGGGTTCTATAAACAAGAAAGCTAAAACACTTTCCGAGTTTTATTTATTCATTGCAAGCTATTGAGGTGGTATTTTAAGGCAGCTTTGAGACATGAACAAAAGTGTTGTCTAATGAAACCAAATCAGTAGCAAAGCTGTGCCCGATAACATTAAGTGTAATAATTTATGATGGGGATTAGGGATTTGGTTCACAACCTTGGAAAAACCTACATAATGATTTTTAAAGTTACCTTTCTGAGAGTTTGGTAATGGTGTGTTAGATATTCAAGTTTCTCTTGAGTAGGTTTATTGTAGAACTAGTCTGGTAACTAAACAAAATACAGAGTTCAGACCAGGACATTATTATCTGGCCATTAGAATGCAGTAAAGTTGATGATTGTGGACAACAGGAAGATAGGGACACACCTGTGTTTTGTAAAATACTAGCATATGATGACTTGCTGCAGAACAACAAATAAACAAAAGTCAATCAAATAGACACAACACGTAGGACTCCTAGTGTGAGGGAACAGAGGCAGCCGCAGGGACTCAGGCTGGTAGAATGTTTGCAGAGAGACAAAGAACATGCAGAAATTTGTGTGTGTGACTTCTTTATCACATGACTCAAATCCCCCCCTCCACAAAAACTGTTTGGAGTGACAGCAGGAGTTAGGCATGGTGAGAGATGGTATGAAATAAATTCTATTCAGTTGGCAAGACTATTTCTTGAGCAAAGCTAATGAAAGAAATGTGGTAACTACATCAAAGCTGTAGCAATGAGACTTGGCTAAGGCCATTTGAAAAACTTCAAAGGTTATACTGACATTATTAGAAATTGTTTTAATCGCCTCTGTGAAACTGAATGGACAAGATAAAAGTAATGAGAATCATGTTTTAAAATACCTTTGTTATCCCAGAAACCCTGTCATTTTCAGGGTGAAAGAGGTGGTACCAAGTGTGAGAAAGTTTGACAGGATGTCGTAAATAATGCGAGGAAGTATGAGGTAGAATCCCATTTTAGCAAAGCCATCAGGAAGTTGAGAGACCTAGTGACCTGGTTCATGGAAGTGAATTTTTAAAAATTTAATATACAATGTATTAAGTGGAACAAAGGAATATTTTAAGGTTTGCTTATCCTAAATAATAATAAATAAAAATGAATAACCACTTACCATCAGCTTAAGAAACAGAACATAACCCATATCCATAAAGCTCCCTTATGCCCCTAAGCAATTGCGTCTCTTTCTGTAGAGTTAATGGCTATTGTGACTTTTCTCTCAATTGTTTTTTTCCTTATACGACACACATATCTATAATTAGTAAATTATATAATTTTTCTTGTTTTAAACCTTATATATATGTAACTATAACTGTACTGTTTGAAGTTTGCCTTTTCCCCTCAATTGATTTTTTTAGATTCATCCATGTTTATAGTTACAGATTATTAATTTCCCTGCCGTATACTATACCATTGTATGCAGATCACCCAAGGTCCCCAGCCTGTGAAGTACTGAATGAAAGTCAGTGCCAGGTCTGGCGACTTTAGAGGCCACGCGCTCTCACTCCTGGCCACAGTACACCACCTCCGCTCTGCTTTACCGCGTTTCACCCCCTCTCTCCTCTGCATTCCGTTTGAACTCCATCTCGCACACACAATTTTCATTTTATTGTTTTGTAATTGTTTTCATGCAAATAGCGTCACTCTTTGAAGGCACAGGCCTTGTCGTCTTTTATTTCTCATAGCCCGGAGTGCACACCCCTGTGAAGCACTCCATCCGTGTTTGACTGATGTAGAGCTGCCTCTCTAGCTTCACCGTGTAACCTTGTGCACCCTTTTTTATAGCTCACTGCAGCGGCCACATGGCGCTCTCCACTTGGATGATGGTGAATACTGGTCCAACAGGGCAGCCTCTTATAAAGGGAAATCCCACCGACCCATCTTTGAGAACAGCATGGACAAGATATACAGGAACTTATACAAAAAGGCCTGTAGTTCTGTTTCTCACACACAGGAAAGCTTCTGAGACCGTCCACGATAAACTGTGTGAGAGTCCGTGTCAACTTCTCAATGAAAACGTTTCATGTGATCAATATCTGCATTCCTTTTTTTTAAACATGTGGCTTTCATTTGAGTACAGTAGTTAGACCTGAATAAGCTTATTACTTCAAATGGTAAATTATCATAGGCAAGCCTTTTTTTTAATCACAGTAAAGAGTGCTGTGTTCTAGAAGTGAAAGGTCTGGGCACAGTTGTACGTCCAGTGTGACTATGAGAAGGATACTGTCCTGTGTATCTCATGTCTCCTCCTAAAAACCCAAGAATAGAGTCTCTAAAAATGCTCTGCCTTAATCACCTTGTAATTCCCTTTGTATATGCTTAACTGGTTATCTTGTCTGAGTAAGATTTAATTAATATTAACTCCCTTTTCTACTGTGTAGAAATGAATTTCTTGAGAGTTGAAACCCTGTTTTAACTGGTATTTTCTACTTTTCCCTCCTTTGAAAAGGCTGTTTATACTTCTTAGCTCATAAGAAATTACTTTCTTTTTAAAGTTTAACCATTCACTCCCTCTTCTCTAAAAGAATAGTCTAAGTTGCCTAAAATGCACAGCAGTTATCTAGAATAGCAGAGGCCGTGTATGACCCAAAACGTAAATAAGTTATTTTTAAAGATATAATTCTTTGCCTGATTTTTTTCCAGGGCTATATCTTTTGATGCAAACAGAATCAGAAAATAGCCTTTCTTAGTAAGCATGTTGAGGCCCCAAAAAAGGGGGGATTACATTGTAATTTAATCTATTTAAAGTTTTCATAGGTACCAAATGGCCCAAGAAAGTAGTATCCTTACTTTAAAGGACACTTGGGACCAAAAAGGGAGTAAAATATTATAGCAGAATTCTTCGCAGTAGGCACTGGGAAATCTGTTGGTTGATAAAATGAGTTTCTTCCCCAACCCCCAAACACATACCTGTGAGACCAGTGACACTTGGAAGACATGAAGAAATCGGTCGCCTCACATTCACCAGAGTGAATGGAAGGAAAGCAGAGAATAGGTAAACTTGTCTTACAAGCTTGGAGTCGACTCCAAGGTAATGCTTTCTCATTGACTCCGTCTTTCGTTAATTCTACAGCTATGATTTAAAAAGAAAAAAATTGACTTGAACCTCATTTAAATGAAATTAACTTGTAAAAGTGGGTGAGTTATTTTTGTATTAGGAGAAAATATTATAATACTTTCAGTCTAACCCTAGGACTTTATAACTTCCTGTTAAGAATGTTGTAGTATGACCGCCTGTGACATATCAAAAAATGCATCAGAGATAGGAGCCAGGAGTCCTTGGCTCTGGTCCCATCTCTGCCATTTTGTAGCTGAGTCTCTTTAAGCCTGTGGTCCTTAGTTTCCACCAGCTATCAAATGAAGAGACTGTAATAGGTCAGTATTTACCAAACCATGTTCTTTGGACCACTATTTTAGGAGACGGTTGTGGAAATGTAAATACAAGTATTTCATTGGTCATATTAGTTTAGGGGAAAATCTGTGCACTATATTTATCCTCCCCCCAACTTATGGAGTCATAAGTGGGATGACAGGAGTGAAAGGGGAGGCTGTTCATGCTGAATGAACACTTGCAAACCAGGGCTGTCCTGTTGAAGCTAGGACATAGGTCATCATAGTCATAGTGAACACTAGCATATTAGAGGTGTGAAGAAATACTGGCACGAGCCTGTTTTGCTCTAGCATCTAGTAGAGAGTCTGGCACTTGTTGGTACTCACTTAATATTTATTGAAGTAACCCAGGATTTCCTAAACAAAAGCAGGCATGTGACAGTATTAGTTGTTATGGCCATCTCATTCTGTCTTCCCCATCTTCCCACACTCCCTCTCAGATGTCATCCTCAGGTGCATGTGGACACCAGCTGGGGAAATGCTGGACTAGCCACCTCTGGTGGCAGGCTGTATAATGATGTTTTATACAATAAGCTTTTGATGGTCAACATTGAATAATGCTTTTGAAAAATCATATCCTCAGTAAAACTTAGGTATTTATGGTTTTTGGTTTTTTGTGGAAACAAATGAAAAACTTCTCCATTTCAAGGTTGCTGCTTGTTGAAAAGAACAAATATGAATTTCAAAGAAAATGTTTTGCTATCATAGAAAATCTCTCAAGTGAATAAGTACCACAAAAATGACTTATTGTACCTATGTCTGCCATTGGCTATGACAAGGGCCACAAAAAATGGGTCTCAAAGGGGATCCTCAGAAGTGTTCTGAGAGCCATGTCCTGTGGATTAAATCTGACATCTCTGAAGGCCGGGGTGCAAATCCTTAGATACGTAGCATCTTTGCTAAGTGTCCGATTACTTCTGTTTGCCTGGGGGAGGAGTGGTCTTTATTGCTATCCCCAGTTACTACTGTGGATCCTTCCATTGTATTATCTTTAAAGGGCACAAGCCTTTAAGTATTAATGGTTGTCTTTTCTCATTGATAGAAGCAGAAAGGTGCCGTTGTTTATTCTCTTAGCCTTTTTTCTGTATTTTTGAGTCTTACAGTAGTTATTGGACTTAATATGAAAGATAAATGTGCCTTCTTTCCTTTAATGTATTTTTACCTTTAAGTAAAAAAAAATGGGAATTTTATAAAGGAAAGTGTTAATTCAACTAAGAAAAAATGAATTGTTAGAATGAGTCCTCCTTGGTCCTGCTACTGTTTATATAACCTTGTTAAGTCATTTATCCTTCCTGGAGCTCAGTTTTAGTTTCTTAACTAGAAGTTGATGAAGGGGTTAATTTAGAATGATCTTTAAATGTTCCAACATTCCTATAATTGTATAACTGATATATGGGGAAGATTAGGAAGCTCTAGGAAGCAGGATTGTGTTGAAGCTCTGCTTGCAAGTTTTTGTGAGGAGACATATTCAAAAAAGTGCATTTTGCTTATTTCTATGACTCACCTCCACAAAAGTACTGCACGTGAGTTAGTGAGATAAGTCAGGGTTCCTGAACTCCAAGGGCTTACCTTGACTATTCAGGGAGGGTCAGGCAAATAAACAGGTGTAGCATAATATCTTGGATTTCCTCATTCTCACTCTCTTATTCTGTGTAGGCTCTTCTACACAAATATAGATTTCTTCATTTTTTTGTATCATTTTTGTAGCCCCAGCACCACAGTCTGGGCATATCTTTATTATAGCACTTAACAAAAACTGGATTATCAATGACTTTCTTATGTGTCTTTTTCTCTCATTCTAGGTTTTCCTCTGCAACTGTGGCACACAGTAGATATACAGTGTTTGTTGAATAACTACTTGAAAGAAAAAATAAATGAAGGGCCACTTAAAGCAATATAAAACCTAGCTCTATCTGGATATAAGAACAAGATGCCCCACCCTGGCCACGTGGCTCAGTTGGTTGCAGTATCAGCCTGTACACCAAAAGGTTGCAGGTTCAGTTTTCCCTAAGGGCACATACCTAGATTGTGGGTTTCATCCCTAGTCGGGGCTCATAGGGGAGGCAACCCATTGATGTTTCTCTCTAACATCAATGTTTCTCTCTCTCCCTTCCTCTGTCTCTAAAATTAATAAAAACATATAATCAGGTGAGGATTATTTAATAAAAAGAAATAAGATGCCCTGACAAGACTGTTGCTGTCAGCTAGTTTATGAATACTTGTAGCCAAAGAGATGAAAATGAGAAAGATAAGAGAAAAATCTTAATAGTACCTTGGCCCTCAGGTTCCTCAGTTGAGAGAGCTGGTGTTTCTGTAGTGAAATCTATTTTTTAAAAAGAGTTCTCATAAGAAAAAGAAGTCAATATGACAACCTGCCTTTTTGTTTGTTACTTGGCTAACCCACTAAGATACAAAGCATTCAGGTGACCAGGGCGAGCTCCTTTGCAGCTGCTGCAGAGGGTGATAAGTACAGGGTTAGGCAATGGACCAAGAAAGCAATTGCCTGCAATTGTTCCCAGCACCTTATATGCCAATGGAGTCTAAATCCCTTCTATGAAATACAAATTTCTTGGCTCCCAAGATGAGCCTTAAACATTTTTTCCTCAGTGTCTTATCTGGTCACTCACAAAGCAGTGCATTTCTGAGGATTGAATTCTCTGTCTTCTAGCATTCAGACGTAACCAACCTGCTTAATCTAGAAACTATGTCTCTTTTGATTAAGTAAGAATTAGTATGATAAATAAAGTATTTATCTGAATATTTAAGCAAAACTGTCTCAATGAAATGCAGTCTTTTTTCATTTTTACTAATATCTTAATCTTAGCAGGTTGCATTCCAGCTATGAAAATTCACATAAATGAGCCTGATGGAAGAGAATGTATTCTGCTCTGACTTGTGTAGTATATAAATGTGTGCAGGTTTATTGAGGGGGCATGTTTTTTCTCACTTCCCATCCCCACCTTAGTGTCATATTTGAAGTTTTTAAAACAAGAGAATTAAAGTATTGTTTATTAAAGGTCACCATCTGTACTTGATGATTTACATACATTATCTTATTTGATCTCTACAGCAACTCTTAGCTATGGTAGGTGTAAGAAATCTCAATGTTATAGACCAGGTAACTAAGGATCAAGCTGCTGTGGTTGACCAGTGATAAAGGCAGCCAGTAAATGGTAACCCCAACTCTGCCTCTCAACAGATAATTGGTTTAAAAACTCAGCTTGTTACAGTTCATAAGTTTTTAAATGATGGAGCTAACATGTCTTCAGAGAGAACCTCAGATCGCAATGCAAACTGCACTCACATTATTGCAGTGAAACCTGGGGCAGATTTCCAACATTCAAACACTAAAAATGAAGGAAAAGATCATTTCATGAACTAGGTTAGAAGTTGGTGGAAGTGTATGAAAGAAATATCACTGAAAATTTAACCAACCTGAGATCTCATGGTAACCAGAGCTGGTGTATGAGATAGTTGCAGGTGAAGTACTTACGATCTTCTTTCTGCGGAGCCCCAGTTACTCTCTTTGACTTAGTAACCACACATTCTTGTAGAACTACATATATATATTTTTTAATCCTCACCCAAGGAGATGACTTCACTGATTTTTAGAGAGAGGAAGGGAGAGAGAAAGAGTGTGAGTGAGGAGGAGAGAGAGAAACATCGATGTGAGGAGAGAAACCTTCATCAGTTCCCTCCCGAAAACACCCCCACTGTGGATTGACCGAGGATTGAACATGCAACCGAGGTATGTGCCCTGACCAGGAATCAAACCCATAACCTTCTGGTGTAGGGGACGACACTCCAACCAACCAAGTCACCAGGCTGGGGCAGCACTATATTTTTTAACAGCTTTATTGAGGTATAATTGATACATGAAGAACTGCATACATTTAATATGTACCTTTTGATGAATTTGTACATATGCAAACACCTGTGAAACTGTCACCACAATCAAGGTAGTAGATGTATTCAATGCCTCCCAGAATTTCCTTGTGTCCTATTTTTTGTTTAACTGTCAGTACCATGCTGTACAGTATTCTCTAGGACTTATTCTTCTTGTATAACTGAAACTTTGTTATTATTAACAAATAAAGGGGATTTTTAACCCCTTATCAGATATATGGTTTGCAAATATTTTCTCCCATGCCACAGGTTGACTTTTAATTCTGTTGATTGTTTCCTGTGCTGTGCACAAGCTTTTTTTTTTTTTTATCCCACCTGTCTATTTTTGCTTTTGTTGCTTATGCTTTGGGTTTCGTACCCAATAAATCATTGCCTAGACCAATGTCAAACTTTCCCCTAAGTTTTCTTTCAGAAGTTTTATAGTTTCAGGTCTTACATTAATCTTCAGTTTCTTTGAGTTGATTTTTGTATATGGTGTAAGGTAGGGGTCCAATTTCTTTTTTCTTTTTCGCATGTGGCTATCTAGTTTTCCCTACACCATTTTTTGAAGAGATTGTCCTTTCCCCATTGTGTGTCCTTGGCCTCCTTGTCAAAGACCAGTGGACTGTACGTATGTTGCTTTTTTTTGGGCTATATTCTGCTTCATTGCTATATGTTGACCTTTTTGTTTTATTACTATGGCTTTGTAATTTAGTTTGAGATCAGAAAGTGTGATACCTCCAGGCTTGTTCTTCTTTCTTAAGATCACTCTGGCTGTTCTGGGTCTTTTATAGTTATATATGAGTATTATGAGTTTTTTTCTATTTCTGTAAAAAATGCCATTGGGATTTTGAGAGGTATAGCAATGAAATGATGGGAAGATAGTGATCTGTAGATGACTTTGGGTAGTATGGACATTTTAACAAGCCACATGGTAACTACCAAAAAAACACCAAAAACATATAGAAGATACACAAAATAAAAAGAAAAATGAATCCAAAAAAAATCAAAACACAAAGGAAGGAGATTAAGAGAAGGTTAGAGGAACAAGAGAACTACAAAACAGAAAACAAAATGGCCAAAGTAAGCCCTTTTCTATCGATAATTACCTTAAACATAAATGGATTAAACTAAAAAAAAAAGACAGAATGTCTGAAGGGATACTAAAACAAGACCCGACTCCATGCCCTCTACTAGACCCTTTACCTTTAAGGACACACAGGCTGGAAATGAAAGCGGGAAAACGGAGTCCCGTGCAGACAGCAAACAGAAGAGCATAGGTGGCTCTGATAATCGGAAAAATAGACTAAGTCAAAAACTGTCACAAGCATCACGGCATTTCTGTTGCAGTAAAAATTTAAAGAAGTTTAGCTTTCTGAGTTTGTGATACAGTTCAGAAATAAGATGAACGAAAACCTTCAATGTCTTTGAACATATGTAATAGAATTGAGAATAAGTATCCTTTACAGGCACCGTTATCAGTGAACATCATTCTTCCCCTGAGTTTTTGTTTGCGTATTTGGTTTTCAGTAAAATTAGTGATATATGCAAACAAAATATTGAAGGGGAATTTATGTATATAAATTTTATGTGCATATAGATTTTATGTGTATATAGATTTTATGTATGTATAGATTTTCAGAAAGTTCCATTTCCAGTAGCATCCCATAGTAGGAAAAGCACCTCCTTACAACTTCTCTGAACCTCATTTTTACTACCTGTGAAATGGAATATTAATAAACATCGCCTTCCATCCCTAGGAGAAGTATTCAGATTGAATAGGAAAATCACTGTGGTCATTCTTTGACATGTATCAGGTACTATCATAATTGCTTTTTGGAAATGATCTTGGGAAAGGAATTGGCATTTGGAAAATTTTCCATCTGGTATAATAGCAATGCTCTTGGTTCTAGAGTTGAACAGACCTCAGATTTCTTTCTTTAAATTTGTCACCTCTATGTTACTTAACCTTTCTGAACTTGTTTTCTTGTTTGTAAAATGAAAGATCTCTTCATAGCGTTGTGATCCTGTAAAGAGTTAATGCATGTGGAGCACCTTGTACAATGCATGGTCCTCAGTAAAGAGTAACTAATAATAAAACTCCAAGTCAACACAGAGGTAGTATTCTGAAAGGTCTTGAGGATCCGGTTGGAGAGAAACAGAACATTAGCTATGTGAATAAATATAAAAAAATTCAAAATTGTTTCAAGTCATGAGACCACGTTAGTCAGATTTTTGGTATGGCTCTTAAATTTACTAGTTATTCAATGTATGTAGGTTGTGCAAAATTATGGAAAGAGCCATATATACTGTGTTTGAATTCTGTGCTGTGGTGGTATCTGGGGGTATGGAACCTTAGTTTTATTATTCATGAAATGGGAATGATGCCTACCCAGGATTGTTGCTATGAAAAGCATGTTAGGTGAATGAAGCAAAGTGACTAGCATTGTACCTGAGAAGCAGTATATCCTTAAAAGTGACTTAGCACCCTTCCCCTGCCATTAGGTTCATCGCGTTGCAGGCAGACGCGGCTGCTGAGTGGTTAACCTCGCGCACCTGTGCCCCCTGGGAGCGGTTTCTGCAGATTTAGAGGTGAACCTGGGTGCATGACTTCAGTCGCTGAGAATATTACCCATTTGAATTTTATATGTGGTATCTCTCACTTGTCAAGGTATTATTTTAAAAATAAAACTAAATTTAATTTGAGGGTATATCCTGTTAAAACAGTTTTGACATAAGTTTATTTTGCTCTTAGTTTATTTTGAACTTTGTAGCATTATAGTTTACAAATGAACCAGATTCTTTTGATTTGGGGAATGTGAGAGGTAGAAGTTAGAGAAAATCATCCTAATGAGGCAGTCCTAGATCATGCCTGCCAGAGGGACATCTCTGTAGCCCTTAAGCATTTGTAATGAATGTGACTGAGCAGTCACCTTTTTCCGACGAGTATACTGTTGGACACTTGTCACACAGGTATGGTATAGCCGTGCTGTTAACGACGTGGGTGTGTTCTAAGGAATTCGTTAGGCAGTTTTGTTCTTGTGCAACCGTAGAGTGCGCTTGCACAAGCCTAGATGGTACAGTCTCCTGCACACTAGGCTGTGTGGTGTAGCCCGTTGTCCTAGGCTGCAAGCATGTACGGCATGTGCAAAACAACGAGATTAAATCAAGTACAAGAGAAAATGATGCAATCGAGAGACGCAGTAAACACGAGATGTGTGAGGCTACTGCTGGGGTAATGGCATACGGCAGACTTTTTATTATAAGTAGAGTCTACTGTAAAATAATGATAAACAGTATAGTAAAGTAAATACACCAGTAACATAGTCGTTTATTACCAGTACCGAGTATTATGTACTGTGCATAATTGCATGTGCTATACTTTTATCTGACCGCAGCACAGTAGGTTTGTTTACACCCGCATCACCACAGACACGAAGTGCGTTTCCTAAAGGCGGCTACGACATCACTAGGCGATGGGGATTTTTCAGTTTCGTTATAATCTTATGCCACTGTTGTATATTTGGTCCCTCATTGATGGGAACATCCTTTATGGGGCACGTGACTATATATATGTGTGTGTCATATATACATATTTTTTTTTTTAAGTAGACCCATCTCATGTTTACCAGGTAATTCTTTAGAAGTTTTAAATGAAAGATTCTTAAGCTACAAAATTTTTCTTTAGAGATCTCAACCTAAAATATAAATAAAATAAGTAAAAATATATAAATAAAATGAAATTTAAAATATATTTATATATTTTTAGAATTTGCTAGCTAATGAGTATTATATTTTATATTTTATCTATTGCACCTTACTGTATATGAATTATTCAACGTGCAGAAAATTAGCCTTCTGATTAAATACATGGCTTCTGGAGTCACACTTCTACATTCAAATCCCACTTTAACCACCTAGTAACTGTGTGACCCTATTAGACGAGCTACCTGATTTCTGTGTCTCAGTTTTCTCATCTGTAAAATGAAAATAATGTTATCAATCCCATGGAGTCATTATGAAGACTAAATTAACAATATAAAGTGCTTAGGACAATGTTAGCGCATGGTAAGGGCTCCATAAACAGTATTATTTAGGATGATGATGATGATGATGTATCTGGCTGATTATTTGCTGGACTCATCTGAATCGTATGTTTTCTGAAACAGTTACTTGGTGTAGCTCCCTTTGCACCTGGTTTTTAATAATATTCTGTTAAGTAAAAAGTTATATGAGAAAGGAATCTACCACTCTGCTCCACAAGAACATGTTGGAAACGTTTTGCATTTCCCTAAAGGACAGAAGAAATACGCCCTCCTGAGTCTCCTTTGAGGCCCCGCAGTTGTTCGCATATGATATCCCCATAACCGTGCTGCATGAAGAATGTGTTTTGGCATGGAAACTGCATAATTTGGAGAGCTTTTTGTTGATAATCTTAAACAAAAACAGTCAAACTCATTTCAGTTCCACTGGAAATCCAAGGATGGGAATTGTTTTTGCCAAATGAGAGAAAAGATGCCAGCTTTTGAATTAGGAAGTATTTGCAAATGTTTATGTTGAGAAAATGGAAGGAAAAGAACATTTGACTTCAGTGAATTTTTGCCTGGTAAACATTCAAAGCCTTGGAAACGATTTCAACTAAATTTTCATGATAAATAGTAGCTTGCATTTTGCATTGCCCCTTAACAAGCATTTTTCAGGCATTTTTACATACATTGTTTTATTGTCTCTCTCCTTAACATGTCTGTGAATTAGGTAGGGCAGGATTATAATCTGCATTTCTATAAATGACAAAACTCAAGTTTGGAGTGTCTCTTGCAGGTCACATAGTGGGTGTGTGAGTTGCCCAACTAGGATTTAAACCCAGATATTAGCACTTTCTCATAAGTAGTCTATAGAAGTTTTTTCTACATTGCTTGATTTTCTTTAGATATTGGATTTTAAGAGATGACACTTGACTCTCATGGTCGGTTCACGTCTATATTTGGGGGAGGCTTGTTTTCCATTCTTCACAGTTTTTATGTCTAAATACCTCCAAACATCTGCTTTTCCTGCTCCCTACTCCGTCCTACCTGTTGATCAATTCACTCACTTATTAACACACCACTCCTCCATAGAGCCACGAAGGAAATTGAACTAGCCAGCCTGGGACTTGTCTGCACTCTCCCAGAAAGGCCTAGGGGTGAAGACTTCTATGGGGTTGAAGAATTCAGTGATCTAGTTGCCACCACAGATGGTTGGAACTTGTCATAATTTGGACTCAGGAGTGGAATGTGCATGACATCTGGGTGCGGAGCTGGGGAGGCTTTTGTTGTCTCCAGTTGGTTGGCTCCGAATCCTGACTGATCAGGACCCCCCATTTAAGAAATGGCTTCCTCGTCTGGCCCTGCGGAGATCCGCCTGCTGCAGACCCTTTAACTGTGCTCTTGAGTCTCTCTAGTCTAGGTGGTTGTGATACTGGCCAGGTTGGGAAGCCCGGGGTCTGCACCTATATGGCTTCCTCTGTAATAAGAAGAAGATAGGATGCTTTTCCCCCCGATTTAAATTTCTCCTTTTAAAACATCTTTACTTTGTTAACCTCTTCATCATCTGAATTTTTTAATTTATTTGGGGCACAAAATACCTTGACCTCCAAGAAGGATAATGACTGGTTCTTCATTTCCGTGTGAGTTATGTATCTTTTGGGTTATCCATGACTAACCTTTAAGTACCAGGGTTTTATTTTTCTCTCTTCACCTCAACAGTTATCAGGTCATTCATTTATGTATTCATTAAGCAAGCCTACTATGAACTAGATGCCGTGAGTGGCATTGGGCAAATATAAGACAAATCTGGACCTCCCACAAACACCTTACAATACAGTGTGTGGTAAAATGTGAAGTACATCGTGGGTGTAGACAGTGTAAGTAAGTACAGGAGGAAGATGCTTGGGCAGGTGCTGTGGGAGCAT